ATGGTTCGTAGAGCCCAAACTTTGCTCAGCCGGGAGGGGGGGGGGTAGGCGAAGGATAATGGCACAATGTTTTGTTTATTTTATTGTGCTCTCGATAATCAAATCAATTAGAACAAATAGCATATGAATGCTCATTAACTGTGGGATTTCGGTTGCTCTAATCTACGAAAGCTCAATGAGGTCTTTACAAGAATCATCCTTATTGCCCGAAGGAGGTCAACCGAGATATTGGTAATATTTCCGTTGACATTCGTTGAGGCATTGGAATAGGGTTTTTGTTTGCTTTCCCGCATTAGCGATGGCATTGTCAACCGACCAGCTGACGTATATTGGGTCCGACCGTGGTGGGAGTGGTGCGGGTACGAAAGGGATCGTCGCCGAAGTTTAATCCGCCATCGTAATCATGACCTTCAGCACAGTAGTGTTCATGCGTCCAGTCACGAAGAACATATTCTTCATTTGCGTATCTTTAAAAGAAGGAGGTTTTCCATAGTATTTGATAATAGACAAATGTACTAAAAGCACGGTCCATGACTGATCTTATAAAATTTCTACCCATATTACGAACTGCCTGTTTGTTTGTGAAAGATTTCTTAAGCGAAACTGAAATATTGATCATTGCGCAGCATACTTATTCCTTCGTCAGGAAACTGCTTTGAAAAGTAACTATGCACGTTCGTTTCCTCTTAACTCAGAAGAAGGCGCGACTGGTTCTCGGGCATGTACAAAAATGGGTATTTTTTATCATGACATATATAAAATATTCATGAGTCGATAAGTTTATCGAGAATCAAATGGAAAATGCAGTTTGTATATTACAGCTCTTCTTTACCCAATGCGCATTTTGCAGGCTGCTTAGAAGACATGATTTCAAAAGTCGACATCCTGGCTTGTGTGAATAATCGTGTGATTATGCCAAATAAACTATTTATTGTAGATCAGAAGGGGTAATATATATTACAGTACTACTTAAGTAATTCTTCTTAATCAAAAAGGTGTTTCATAATTTTGATTAACAGTCCATGATGTTGGTCACTGACTAAATATGGGCCAGCATGTTTAAGCGTCCTCATTTTCTTTATATGGCAAGTTGAGCTGGATCACTAGCAACTAAATGTAAACAACCGTAAAAGTAATCCGGACATTCTGAAAGTTGTGAGCAGGCGTGCTGTGGGTTTGATGGACCTCTTCTGTTGATAACATTTAGAGGACCAGCACAGTAGGAATACTTGATTAGAAGAAGAGAATGCGATCACTGGAACAAGAGTTTTATTTGCCTGTCGTTTATGGATTTCGTCGGGAATTCTTAGTCATAGGTGATAGCAACACAGTCATGGTTACACGCAGAGAAGTTCATTTTGCCTGACTGGGACTTACTTCATGTAGTAATAAGCAGAAGAGTGGTCTCTGGGGTTGGTTTGAGGCCGATCGAACCGACGACGTTAACGCTCTGAAAGGATTAAAAATAGCGTTCTTTCCAGCAAAAAAGTTCAGTTTACGCAGAAAATAGCACCTTCCTACACCCAAGACTCACCCGAATCTCCGATTCAAAAATAAGTCGTTGGTTGATTTCCTGGTCCGGACTAACGTAGATTGCATTAAGTACTTTGACATTTGACGGTAGTATTGGATCTGTAATGGAAAATAACGATAAGTATATTTTTGTTAAGATTTTCAAGGTTTGCTAAGGTTTGTTTACTGGGAGATGGTGGATAATTGAGTAGAAATGTCTTTTATGCGACTGCTTTTCCAATCCAGATTCACTGCGGTGCAACGAGAATAAATGACCTCGCTCTAAAGGCAAATCAATTTTCCATGAACCACTCAATCAATGACCGAATAAGGGCACTTCTTTTATTAAATTTCTTATCTTGAGCAATACCTGTGATTATTTTTGTTTACGATAAGTGCTGTAGCACCTAAACAGCATATTCTGGCCGTCCAAACATAAACCTGTCGAGTGCCACGAGTGGTATGGAGCCGAGGAGAGTGGCACACTGTAGTGCTCACTCTCGAAATGGGGCAGCGGAAATGCTCATGCAAAAATATTCAAGCGTTCAGTTTTTTAATTGCTTTAAAAATTAAATAATAAATAGATAAATTAATTTAATTGATTTAATTAATTAATTTATGTTCTCAGTATATTGAAAGTCTATAGGAATCGACCGAATTTTTTGTCGATAGCGAGAACAAAAATGGCATTCTAAGGAAATTAACATGCTGCCCCTTCAAAACGGCTATACGAACCAGAAAGCAAACAGACAATGCTGGGGGGTTCACTAATGAGCCGGACCCCTCGCAGATGTGTCAAGCAATGTTAGAATACTGACGAAACACTTGGCTGGGCTGTTGACATGGTACATAACAACACCTATTTAAAGTCAACAGTATTAAAATTTCCTTTGTTAGAGCTACTCTAGGACGTAAACGTCCATTGGTTCAAGTTGTGGGATTTTTGCCTTAAAAATAATTCTAGAAAGTGTATTACTAATTTCGTCATTAAAGTCTTGACGATCTTCTCGCTGTACTTAAATGGAACGTTAAACTCATTTTTTTAACCAAGGTAATCAGACACACATTAAACTTGAGGCGAATGTTCGCATTCCAGGAACTTGTACATTTTGATAAAAAGAAGGATTATCGAACACTGGAATCATTATTTTATTAGTCTGAGCTTTCGGGCTCCTGCAGGAGCCCATCGTCACAGATGGGAAAAAAAGCAACAAATGAGGTGGCTAGTTCTGGCTCGTGCACAACCTGTTCTGTAAATTGCACATGACAGACTGGACGTATGCTGAGTTCGCGCATACACGAACACAAGTCGGCTGTTCGTCGGGGTGATGAATCTTCGCAAGTGGCCGCCCACGCCTACGAGACGGGTCACGAGTTCAACTTCGTAGCTGCGAGGATGATTGCCCACGCAAGCGGCAAGACGGGCCGAGAACTTATTGAACCCTGGGCGTCGGATGACAACTCAGTTAACCGATGCATCGAGCTGGCGCCCTCATACGTTGCCCTGCGTAGGTGTCTCCAGACTCACGGCACTAGTGGTCCTGTCCCTCCCTCCCCCCTTTCATCTGACTTATGATTTACCTTTCCCCTATAGAATATTGCTTGTTTTCGTTGACAATTTTATTTTTGTAAATATTCCCACCCACCACGCCGAGCTCGCCCACTAGCACATACTAATAAAGTCCCCAGTAGCGAGTCGACGGCCAAACCACACAATGATTGATTTTCTACCCGTTCAAATTTTAGCTGTCTTGTGCACACGCCAGAACTAGCCACCTCATTTGACGATGAACTCATGCAGGAGCCCGAAAGCTCAGACTAATAAAATAATTATTCCAATGTTCGATAATCCTTCTTCTTCTTCTTCTTCTTTTTCTCAAAATGCACATTTAAGTATACTAGAGTGATTAAATGTGCCTGTAGTAGGGATTATCATGAAATATTAACGAGGGATAGTTATCTTGTGTGGTATACTAATCCTCCTAATTTTGCTTGTAGCCTCTTTTTGTATTTAAGTCTTGCTAAATATTTCGAATTGAGTTTTGGTATTGAAAAAGTCAATTAATCTTCCCTATAAAGTGTAACTTTACAGGTTTTTCTAGACTATTCCATTGCAGGCTTAGTGGCGCGATTTTGCGTGGTGACTGACGAACAATCAATGCCCCGTCTACGCGTGCCACACACAACCTGGTTCCCGATGCAAAATTTGTCCCTAAGGGGGGGGGCAAGCATGACAACAGGACACCTCTAAAGTCAACATTGTTCCTACGCCGGCAAAGAAAGCATTTCACAAGCAGCTCACCACCGCCCACTCCGGCCATCTTTTTGTACACGAGAGCAACGGGTTGCTGGCGCCTGTCCAAGGGGTAGAAGATTGCAGCTCCATTTTGGCCAGCCAGTTTGCCGCGAATAACAGCGTATTGTCGGCCTAAAGGAAGACATTTGAAGTACCAACAGCAGCGGTTATATCAACATTAAGGTAAAGATTACTGTGCAACACTGCATACAAAGACATCTATAACTTACGACTAACAAATTGCCAACAGAAATTTGCTGCCTTGCAGGGCGCTTTGTCGGAGCCTATGGACATTGGGACATTTGTCGTGACATCCTGAAATGAATAAACAGAAGTTCAAAGGGGGCGCGGCAAAGGGGGTATGGACTTGATTCGTCGTCCAGATTACTTACCGTTATATTATCATCGGCGTCGATATACGCGTAGAGATTACTGTTTTGTGGGCATTGTACGTTGGCTAAGCAGCCTGAAATGCGAAATGGTTTCATTAAGGTCTTTGTGCTAATTCGAGCTCTGCCTACTCCAATCACAATTCTGGGAAATAAAATAGGTAAGTGGCCTATCACATGAGCTATTAACCGAAATTTGAAAACTTAGGTTCTATTAGATAGGATAACTATAACTGGCGAGTGTTTCAAATTTGGCCTCCTTTTTTGACCTCCGAGGACATGACATTTCTTCGTGATTTTGGGCTATTGTAGGTTCTTGAGGTATTTTGGTATTAAGAATATACTTCGAAGATCCAATATCATCCCCTGAGTCATCGTCAACAGGACTTAGCTAGGTCCTGCAAAATCTTAGCCCCTTCGGACTTTGAAAATCGTCGCTTCTGCTGATTACTGAACTGAGAATTACATTCCACCATCGAGCACTGCAGACTGTACTTTTAAAAAGCTAAAGCAACCTTCTTTACATTGAGATTCGCTGTATTTTCGTCTCAAAGTACTCACCTAATTTTGTGCATTTGGAATTCTAAAATTACAATAATTTTCCCAACGCGATGACCCTGCCCAAACATTGAAGTCTCCTTCTACCAAAAAGAACCCTGTTCTAGTATATTTGCCTCAGAGTTCAGGCAATATTCTTCATCGGAGAGTATTTTTTTGCTGATTGAGAAAAACTTTGCAAAATGTTATGCTGGATTTCTAAATACAGAAGGGTTCGTGATCGCGGTTCGAACACTGAACTCCTCGAGTCACAAATGGACGTGTAACCTACTGCGCCATCGCATCATGGTCGGAGAGGCGTTCGAAAAGTGTCATAATATATCACTACCGATGCATTCAGACAAGTCA